GATTCAGAGTACCGACGGAAAGTGCGCCATATTCGTCGCGGGCAACCCACGCCCGGTGGTGACCGACTGCGGAGCTGGCATGGGCTTCGCTTGGGCTAGAGTCGAGGACATCGTGTTCTATAGCTGCTGCTGCAGCCCCAACTGCACGACACACGTCTTTGACGCATTTCTGGATGGTCTCGAAGCGTCAGTCCGCAACGACTCTGCAAGTCAGGAAAACCTCATCGTGGCTGGCGATTTTAACTCGCACTCTGCCGGATGGGGCTCAGACACGGAAGACTTGCGAGGGGCTCTCCTATCGGATCTCGCTGCGTCACTCGGGATGACGGTCTGCAACACGGGGATCACGCCGACGTACAGGAGGGTGAATGCGGCTTCAGTCATTGACGTTACTATGGCGAAGTCCCTACCGAGCAACCACCAACTGGTCAGAGATTGGAAGGTACTCGAGGACTACACTGCGAGTGATCACATGTATATCACATATACCGTAGTATCGCCAAATTCTCGAGGCTTCACACGTGGTCCTGCAAGAGGCTCGGTAGCCGGCTGGTCAACCAGGAAGCTGGACCCAAAGATGTTGGGCATCTTTTGGGACCTCGCAGGTGCTCCCCCAAGGCTGCCTCCAGCCGCGACCCCCGACTGCCATGCCGATCGTCTGAACCACATTCTGACCACCGCATGCGAAGCAACGATGCCAAAAAGGGCCGCCCTGTATGGGAAGAGGCCTGTCCATTGGTGGAGCAGAGACATTGCAGATCTGCGCAAGACTGCAATAGCTGCCCGCCGGTGCTACCAGCGCGCCGGTCGTAGATCACCGGTGACGACGCGCGAAGCTGAAAGGGAGGCGTATAAAAAGGCGAAAGCTGACCTCAAGCGTGCGATCAGGAGTGCCCAGGAGAAAAGCTGGAAAGACCTTTGCCTCACCGTCGACAACGACCCCTGGGGAGTCCCGTACAGGCTGGTGACGAAAAGGCTGGGTCTTCACACACCGACCTTGGATCGGGACCTCAGAGCTAACGTGGCTCGCGGACTTTTCCCGTCACTACCACCCACGGTCTGGGAATACATCCCCCTGGTAGTGCAGCAACCTGCATTCCTGGTCGAAACACCAGATGCGTTTACCTCGGTGCCCCTGATAACCGCCGAAGAAGTGGGTCGTGCTGTCGCCAGGCTACCACTGGGCAAGGCACCGGGACCCGACCTCGTGCCGAACGAGATTATTCGGCCAGCATTCGGCAGGTTTTCCGAGGTCTTTGTGGAATGCTACAACGCGTGCCTGGTTTTTCCGCTGAGGTGGAAGCGCGCGAGGTTGGTTCTGCTGCCAAAAGGGCAAGGCAAACCACCGAACCTCCCGTCTAGCTACCAGCCGATAAGCCTGCTGGACGGGGCCGGCAAGGTGTTCGAAAGAGTGCTGCTCAACATGCTGGAGTCGCACATCGCAAGAGCCGGAGCAATCAGTGACACGCAGTACGGGTTCAGACGAGCAAGGTCTACCACCGATGCGATCGAGGACGTCCTGAGAGCGGCCCAAGGTGCTAACCGGGGGCCGGTACAGGACAGGCATCTGGGCGTTCTCGTCTCTTTGGACGTCAGAAATGCTTTCAACTCGGCGCCGTGGACCCTGATCGACGAGGCATTGCGAAGATCTGCTGTTCCGGAGTACCTGATCAAGGTGCTCAGATCGTACATGCATGGGCGAAGCCTTTTGGTGGACGGCGACATCCACATGCCAGTCACATGCGGTGTCCCACAGGGTTCGGTTCTCGGGCCGTCCCTGTGGAACGTTTTCTACGACGGTGTTCTGCGGCTCCCTACACGAGAAGGTGTGCGAATAATTGCGTTTGCGGATGACCTGGCGGTCGTGGCGGTGGCACACAACACCGAACTCATCGAGGAGATAGTGAACCCCACTCTCAAGGACATCGGAAGATGGATGGCGTCTAACGGCCTTCAACTGGCACCTGAAAAGTCTGAGTGCGTCGTTCTGACGAAAAAACATTCGTTCCGCGAGCCAAGGCTGCTCGTCCAGGGGTGTCAGGTCCCGGTCAGGCGTTCGGTGAGGTACCTGGGAGTCCAACTGGACACCCGGTTGTTATTCGTCGAACACGTCGGCGCAGCGGCAGCGGGAGCGAAGAAGGCGATGACTGCTCTGGGGAGACTTATGCCCAACGTTGGAGGCCCGTCCCAATGTAAACGTAGCCTGCTCATGAGCGTGGTCCATAGCCGGCTGCTTTCCGTTGCGGCGATCTGGTCGGAGCGGGTCCTGGAAACGCAAAAGAGCAGGAATCTCCTTCTTCAAGCGCAGAGAGGTGCAGCACTTAGGTAGAAAGGTGTTACCGTACGGTGTCGGACATGGCTGCTCTCGTGCTGGCCAGGATGCCTCCCGTATTCCTGCAGGCTGTCAACAGGAAAGACGCGGCGTTGGTAAAGAGAGCCGGTACCGAGTTAACGAAACGTCAGACGACTGCCGCGATTATCAGGCAATGGCAAGAAATGTGGGAGACTACGACCAAAGCGGGATGGACGAGGCGGCTGATCCCGGACCTGTCCAGATGGTTGAACCAGGGACCGAGGTCGGTGAGTTTCCACATGGCGCAGGCCCTCACGGGACATGGATGTTTTCAGAAATACCTGTGGTCAAAGGGCAGAGCGCGCAGCTCGGCCTGCCCTCACTGCCCGTCCGAGTTGGATGACGCAGAGCACACATTGTTCATATGTATGTTCTGGAACCTCGAGCGTCGCGACCTGGTGCTGTCCCTGGGAAGACATCCTTGCCCTGAGGATGTGGCGGACCTTCTGTGTGGACCATTTGCGGAGGAGCTACCCACGGACATGAAGCTGAGGAGAAGAATCATGAAGGCAGCTGTCCAACAAAGAGAGCTTTTCGTCCGGATGGTAGAAGAAATCATTGGCCGGAAGGAGGAGCTAGAGAGGGAGAGGCAGAAAGAAGAGTTTCAACCTAGTTAAGATAACTCCTGTGGGCCGAATGGCCAAAACTAGGGTGGTTAGAGGCCCCCATATTATGTATTTATATATATTGTTTATGCCATATGTATTTTGTATGTATTTTGTATTTCATTTTCAATAAATGATGCTGCCAGGGAGGCCGTAATGGGGAAATCTACTTCCCTCCCTGGTTAGCGGTATAAAAAAAAAAAAAAAAAAAAAAAGGTTAGGTTAGGTAAGGTTAGGTTAGGGTTAGGTTCACTAACCTGATGGCGATGGAGAGAGAAGAAATGCACGCAGACCGCGGGGCCAGCAGAAGAGATTGCAGGGAAAGGACCATGGTGCGTTGGAAGAAGCGAATCGAGACAGCCGAGACGGGAAGCTGGACCAGGATCGTCATCCCGGACCTGAACGCATGGTGTTACAGACGCTACGGATTGGTCGACTTCCACCTCACCCAGATGCTAAGCGGTCACGGGTGTTTTGGCGAGTATCTCCAAAAGAGGAAAAGGAGGGACGATCCGGGATGTGTCGATTGCGGGGCGGCCAGCGACGATGCGAACAACGTATTTTTTCGGTGCGACCGCTGGAGCAGGAAGAGGCGGTCACTGGAGGGCGTGATCGGCCGTGAGTTCGACCCAAAGACGGTGGTTGGAGCGATGCTGACCGGTAGTAAGGATTGGGACGCGGTGCAGAGCTTTGTCAACATAATGCAGCAAAAGCGAGAAGACGAGGAGCGGGACAGGCAGAGGGCGGAAGCAGCACGTCAAAACTAACCAAACTTATTGTGAGGGACGTCATGCGGGAACTGATTGTACACTAGAAATTGTAAGGGGTCACTGGGGAGATTAGCCTCAGGCGTACCCCATTTAAGGTGTTTGTGAAATTTAAACAAATTAACTATGGGGGCCGGGGAGAAGTAATACCTAACGGATAATTCCCCCCCCCCCGGTCACCGGTTACTTTTAAAAAAAAAAAAAAAAAAAAGGGTAAGGTTCCCGGTAATTCCTTCGGGATGGCATGAGCATAACACCGGGCGCGTCTCCAGGCTGCGAACGGATAGGGGAACGTCCTGCAGATATGCAGGACAGCCGCGATATAAGCCATACCCTTCGGGATTGGACGAATAACCTTGGTTGGTTGGATCCGGCAGGACTGGGCATCTCCCGCTTGCAAACAGCAAATTGGCCTCCACTCAACCCCTCATGACCATAACTGGGGCTTACTTGGCAGAGAGTGGCTGGGGCTGGTTTTAACTAATTGGTCCCGGAAGTTATCTGTCGCACGGTCCTAACCTGGCGAATGCCTTACCGCGTCAATCGGGGCTCTGACGCGGCGGACGACCACTTCCCCAGATTCTCGTGGGAATCATATGGATAAAACAACTAAAAAACACAGCGGATCTTCAACCGTCCAAATGGAGAAAACCGGATGTCCAACCGGTCAAACGGACAACACCAGCGTTAGGGACACTAGTCCTTCATCTGATCAGGGCAGCACAATGAGCAATTCATCCGGCACGAAGAAGCAGCATCCAGCTTCCCCTACTTCTCCCACAATCACCGCAAGAGACCCAACGGAGGCAGGACTCCAGTTCATCCGGAGCACCTTAAAATCGGCTCCCTTGGAGGCTAAAATCGCACGGATAGGTGATGTCGGGGAACATTTGGTGGAACTATTGTCCAGCATAGACGAGGTTGTTAGGTTGTTAGTTGTTCATAACTTACTTACGAAGAAGGGGAAGCTGAGAAGTCCACAACAAAAAAGGACAAAAGAGATGAACAGCGAGTCTGTTATGGATCACACTGTACAGCTCAAGCCGACAATGGTTGACGCGTCGACTGATACCTTGCTCAACCCACGATGGTGGCACGTAGACCCTGAGGATAAGACAGGTGATACAAACAGTGCAGAAACCAAAGACACTGAACGTCCAAAAAGAGCCCGGAAGAGGAAGCAGCCTACAGCGAAACCAACGACTGAGCCTATGGAAGTGGAAGGTGCATGGCATACGGTGGAAAGGAGAAAACCTGCCATTAAGACATCCACTGCCCATCCAAAGCCCAAAGCGCCGGCGAGGCCGATCAAACCCCCAGCAGTACTCGTGAAAGTGGCCACTGGAAGCACTTACGCGGACACTGTCAGGGCGATCCGAAACACCAGCGGCCTCACCCCAGAGTCCATCGGCTCTAGGGTAACGGCGTTGAAGAAAACCAGGGAAGGACACCTCCTGGTTCAGCTGTCCAAGGGTCAGGCTTCACAGATGACCGCTGAGAAGATTAGGTCCGCTATCGCAGATAAACTGGGAGATCAGGTCGGCGACGTTAGGAGACTAGGCGCCACTGCTGAAGTGGAGATTGTCGACATCGACGCTGCCGCTGACCAAGACGAGGTGCTTTCTGCTCTGAAAGGAGCCATCCCAGGTGAAGACACGTCTGCCGACTCGGAACGAGACAACATCAGGGTCACTGGACTGTGGATGACGAGAAGCGGCCAACAGGTCGCTACTGCCACCATGGCTCCCTCAACTGCTGCTAAGATCCAAAGAGTGGCGATTGGATGGACTATGTGTCGGGTGAGGCCCAGACGCCAACTCCCTTCCAGGTGCTACCGATGCCATGGCTTTGGTCATGTCACAGCAAACTGCCCGGGCCCTGACCTGACCTCCACATGTCGTCGTTGCGGAGAGAGTGGTCACCAGGAGAAGCAATGCGAAGCCGGCAACGATCGCTGCGTCGCATGTGAACGCATCAACGCCGAAAGAATCTCGCACAGACCAGGTTCTGGACAGTGTGCTGCACTACGGGCAGCTCGCCAAACGACGGGAGATTTGTCGGCACTGCAATGACCCAGTTCCTACAGATCAACCTGCACCGGAGCTATGCGGCACAACAGCTCATGTATGCCACAGCTGCGGAGCTCGGCTCTCAGGTTCTCCTGGTGTCAGAACAGCCCCCGAATGCCCAAAACAACCGGCGCTGGAGCATCTCCAACGACAATACATGTGCGATTGCTATGACTACAAACGCACAACACATAATAGTTGAAGAGCAAGGAGCTGGCGTAGGGTTTGTGTGGATAAGGTCCGGGCAGCTCAAAATCTTCAGCTGTTACCTATCCCCGAACAGCACAAGGCAAGAGTTCAACGTCCAACTAGGAGCATTGGAGGAGGCAAACAGAACCTGGAATTGAACTAGTCGTAGCAGGAGATTATAATGCTAAATCCAGCGAGTGGGGCTCCACACATACCGATGAAAGGGGACAGGCACTGTCAGAAATGGCAGCTAGCCTGGGATTTGTTGTTGCAAACAATGGAACAACACCTACCTTTCAAAGGGCCAATGCTGAATCTGTGATTGATATCACATTTGAGAGGTTAGGACGATGCACAAGGATGATCAATTGGAAGATTTTGGAGGCCTATTCCAGTAGCAATCATAAGTACATCACGTACGAATTGAGAGCGTTCCCAACCCAACCGGAAGACACCCCTGTAGAAAGGCATTCGGTAAGTCTGCGGCAATGGGCGTACCGGAACCTGGACCACGCAGCTCTAGAATTTTATCTTCGGAACGAACCTCCCCCACAAGTTGACAACAGCACGACGCCTGACCAAGCAGCAGAAGCACTGGCGCGATACCTGACGGACGCTTGCAACAGCTGCATGCCTTTGAGGCCTGTTCTAACATCGAAGAGGCGCCCTGTTCACTGGTGGACGGCAGAAATTGCCTTGCTGAGAAGCAATTGTTTTTCAGCAAGAAGAAGATATCAAAGGGCAGCAAGGAGGGTCGAAGCAGAACGAGCCACGGCGCTACAGACAGAGTACAGGACACTTAGGAAAGAGCTAAGGCTGGCTATCCGCAAAGCACAAGAAGCCGACTGGGCTGACATGTGCAGAGCGGTTGATAACGATCCATGGGGCTTACCGTATCGCGTGGTCACTAGGAAAATCGGCCGTTCTCCAGCTGGCATGGAGGCGAGGGGAAAAGAGGGTGAAATCGCAGGTCACCTTTTCCCAAACCTATCTGCGACAGACTGGACCACTGCACCATCACCAGAGGAACCACTCCTGGATGTAGGTACACCTGAAGGACATTGTAATATGCATATATTATTAAGAAATAATAATACGCATATTCCTGAGTCATATAAGGAAAAACGTACCAAGAATAACTATTGCACACATAAACTTAAATGAGTGCCACGCGCGAATTACAAACAACCACAAACAACATCATCATTCGAATAAGACAATCAAGGCCAAGGGCAACCACGTGATGAAACGTCATTTGGATATGAAGATCAAAACCAAGGACAGCCACGTGTCGAAAACAACACAATTAAAACAGAATCAAACAAAGTATATAAAGGCTCCGTTTCACCACCAACGGCAGACGTATCCAGCTATCAGACCAAGCCCTTCTGAGTTTCGTCTTCGATATTGTTAGCGCGCAAATTTATCATTTATATCTGTGTCTGTATTTGTATCTGTATTTATTAAAGTGTTTACAAGTGTTTAAATTAATCATTGAATCAATTTACCCTGATCCATCAACATCATTACGATAGGTACCTGTTTTTATTGGGTATCACGTAACAACATTACCCAATGTTTACGTTGGAGGAATTAGTCATGCAACAGGTTATTGTCAGGCAAAGCCCCTGGACCTGACGGTGTACACAACGATGTATTACGCCAGCAACAACGGTCCATACTCAAGTATTTCTTGACCATTTCAACGTCTGCCTCCGAAAGAGTTCCCAACCTGTTGGAAAAAGGCCAGGCTGTTTCTATTACACAAGGGCCCAGGAAAACCGACAACAGACCCATCCAGCTACCGGCCGCTCAACATGCTGGACGCAATCGCCAAAGTGCTTGAGCGAATGATGCTTGGAAGACTCAACGACCATCTGGACGCTACGGGACAACGGGCCGAACGCCAGTTTGGTTTCCGTTGCGGCAGGTCAACGGAAGACGCAATAGAAAGCGTACTGCAGGCTGCCCGTGGAGCAGCCAGAGGGGCGGTGCAGCACAGGAATCTCCTCCTTCTAGTCTCACTAGACATGAAGAATGCCTTCAACACTGTCCCATGGTTGCGGATAGACGAGGCCCTTCGACAAAAGCGGTGTCCTCCTTATCTGGTTTGAATGATCCGATCGTATCTGCTGGACAGGGAAATACTCATCGGAGAAAACCTTACCCCAAGAAGAGTTACGTGCGGTGTTCCCCAGGGATCAGTCCTAAGACCTGCACTTTGGAACATTTTTTATGATGGATTACTGGACACCCATCTACCTGATGGAACTCAGACAATCGCCTACGCGGACGACATGGCAGTGCTCGCCACAGCTCGAAACGCCAACGGAATTGAAGAGATCATGAATCCGGCCCTGGAGGTGATTTCTGACTGCATCTCCTCTCATGGATTGCAACTGGCGGTACACAAGACGGAAGCTGTGATGCTGACCAACAAAAACGTCTTCACTAACCCGAACATCACTGTGGACGGAACAAACGTAGAAATTAAGAAGTCAGTAGTTTACCTAGGAGTGGAGCTTGATCAGAGACTTTCTTTCACGGCTCACATAGCCCGCGCTGCGAAATCGGCAATTAACACTTCCAGGGCTATCGCAAGATTAATGCCGAACACTGGGGGACCAATGGCGAAAAACCGAAAACTCCTGGCTTCCGTCGTTCAGAGTAAGCTGCTCTACGCAGCTCCGGTGTAGGCAGAGTCAGGGACTAAGACGGCCAAAAACAGACAAGTCCTGCTGAGAGCTCAACGGATAACGGCTTTGCGGATCATAAGGGCGTATCGCACGGTATCTGATCAGGCTGCTCTCCTCCTAGCCGGGATTCCTCCCGGCCACCTCCTTGCGAACGAGCATCGTGACAAGACGAAAGGACCAGATTCCCGGTGCAGATGTAAGTATGGGAGTAATAAAGAGGCAGGAACGGCAGACCACAATCCTCCTATGACAGGACATATGGACTCGGAGCCCGAAAGCACAATGGTCAAGGCAATTGATTCCGGAGGTTGGCAGATGGATCAAGAGCGAATCGACGTTGTCGTTCCATCTATCCCAAGCGTTGACAGGGCATGAGGGTGCTTTGGCATTACCTCTGGAGGATGGGGAGATCGCCCACTGCATCCTGTGATTACTGTCAACACCCGGCGGACGCGGCAGAGCACACATTATTCGATTGCCCACACTGGGACATCCAGCGGTTACCGATGGGTGTGTATTTAGGTGGACATAGCCCTACACCGGAGGATGTGATGTACCTTTTAACCGGACCAGAGGACAGACCGGATATCCTCTCCGATGCAGCAGCTCGAGCCCGCCAGGCGTTCATAACGATGGTGGAAATCATCATTACAACAAAGGAGAAAGACGAAAGACTGAGACAGGCGGCAGTCAGAGAATCAGCGGCAAACGGCTGAACACGGCAGCTTAACATAACATTGTATACTAAGAACATATTGTAGCGCGGTCGCGGCTCACACCTCAAGTGTCTTATTGTAAACAAGCGCTCACTTGAGGCTAGAGCCATGTATGTATGCATTTGAATTTCCTCAATAAACGATGGCGACGCCGCGGAAGTAATGCGAAAGCAGTTCCCGTGGCATCGTCGGTTCCTATAAAAAAAAAAAAAAAAAAGGTTAGGGTTAGGTTAGGTTAGGTTAGGTTAGGTTAGGGTTCCCGGCCCTTCGGGGAGGCATGGGCATGCCACCGGGCGTGTCCCCAGGTTGCGGATAGGGGAGAGGCCTGCAGATATGCAGGTTAGCCGCGAAATAAGCCATACCCTACGGGATTGGACGAATAAGCGGTCGCGGACAAGCTCACCACCGGGGGAACGGTCGACCCCCGGTGTCTTGGAAGATCAGGCATACGAACAGGACACAGACAGACGACACGAGGCTGGTGTCATCAGTGGCGGACAAGCTACAAACAAAACCATGATGATACACGAAGAAAACGATATGTTGTCTGGGGTCTCGGATGACCCAGAGGCGGCGGCCGGGAGTGGGGGCACGTCCCGGGAGTCAATATCGGCCACAATGGCATACCCAACAAATGCAGGGAGGTCGCAGGCCCCTGCAGCCAACACTGGCGTTGGTAAGGCAACTGCTGGCGGGATTAAGCAGGCTCCTGCCGGTGACCGGAAAGTCACTGACACTGCAACGGCTCAGATGGAGGAAAAGGAGGGGAATGAGGGGACAGATGCGTTTAAAAACGTTCAGCAGTCAACTCCAACTCCGACGGAGGCGATTAATTCACGGACAGAACGTGTCAACCAGAGGACAATTAACATAGCGGTCCTCAATGAATCAGAACTTTTAAATATGATAAAAAGATATGTGAATTCCATGACTGATTTTGCAAAAAAAGACGCGGAATGTCCATAAAGAACTTAAGGATACACTCACAAATACAGGATTAGTTCTAAACCAATACCTGA